ACAAGTCAAGCCAGATTAATTTCCTTTTTTACTTAGATTCACATTTGTGGCCACAATTCACTTGGCACTCTAATCATGCCTATTTCTAGAACATTTACATTTTTGATATTATGGCAATAGAAGCGAGCATAGCGAAGCATCCACGCAGCACAGAAGTTGAAGCAAAATGTATTGCATAAATTCAGAGGAAGAAGGGAGGGAGTCAAAAGTTTCAGTTTGAGTAAAAAAAAGTTTTAGTTTACAATTATTTGATTGGGCAAGAGGCATCGGCATTAAGCATTATGTAAGATCACATGATTAATATGAATGATGTAGTTTAGACTTATAGCACTATTTTTAAGACAGAGAGAGGAAGTCCCCAAATTGAATTTAAAAAATGGAACAGGTTATAGCCAATTAAAATTCAAAGTTAGCTTTCATATTTTTATTACATATTGTTACAAAATGTACAAGAGCAGTGAGATAGCTTCTCCGCAATGCAGTTTTGGGGTTGCCATATTTGGCGAGAAATCACCCATTTGGCGACAAAATTGGTGATATGCCATGGATGGATGGAGAACCTTCTGGAACGAATTCTTACCGGTTTAGCCCAGAATGTTCTCAAACACAAGCCGAAAGCTATATAAACCCTGCTGGTCTGCAGTCAGTTTCGAGTGTGTGTGTGCCTCATCTAGCAAGCTGATAGTCAGTCATTGAACGAGTGTCTGGAAATCTAGCGCCAAGTTGGTCATCAAGTGCATCGACAGAGTCTTTTAGTGCATCACAAATTAGTGCATCGTCGAGTTTTGTCTTAGACTGTGCTGAGTCGAGAGCTATACTTTTGACGAGTGCATTGCGTGGAGTTCCAAGAACGACTAAGCAGAGTTGGGAACTGTACTCGGGTGTTTTGCAGTGAAGCTGTCTCCGTTATTGCCTGACAGTGTGAAGGCTGTGTCGCTGAACGTACCAGCGTGTTTATAACAGTTTGACGACTGTAAAAGTGATTTTGGAGCAATCTGATTAATATTGGTAAATAAAGTGTGTTTCGATACTTCATCAAGTGCTGTCGTTATTCACTCCAAATCTACGAACCCCGTACGAACGTGGGGGAAGGAAATAACTTAACAATATATATACAAATGTAAAGAAGTGATGCGAGTATACCACATGGATAAACATGATTCGATAATTTACTTTCTGACCTTTAATTAAACTAGACACTATTTACAAAATCAAGAACATCAAAGAACAGTGTACTGCAATGCCACAGAGGGAACTGATCCTCTTCCTGGGTTAAGAGCTGAGTTGCAGAGTGTCTTCTAACAATATCAATACAATCATTACATAAGCAATAACTTTAACATACTACAATATCAGTAATATTCTCAGACAAAATTTATTATTGTGAAAAGTATACTCTGATAAATCAAAGAGTACAGTATAACCCCAATTATCCGAACTCCAACTATATGAATCGCTGATTATCCAAATTGCTTTCAAAATTTCAGAATTTTTCCGACTCAACTGAAGAGGAGAAGGAAAAAGAGAAAAAAGAAAAAGAAGCTTGAAAAAAGGAAAGGAAAGAGACAGGAAAAAATTAGGATGACGTGTCACTTAAGGAATTAAGAAACATTCTTTTGAAAATTCCTGATGTTAAAAGTTAGTGCTGAGGATACAGCAGAATGGATGGTATGTGATTCAGCAGACCGTGGGTTTCACATTCTAAATGATGATGAACTTATTGAAAGTTTCAGAGAAGAAAGTGTCGAGGAAGAAGATGACCTTAATTTTGAAAATGAAGCAGACATAGGACCATCAGTTAGCGAAGCGTTTGTCGGCCTTGAAACTGCATTGACGTGGATGGATGGCTTGTTAGCTCGAGTGTGACCACATGCATCTTCTCATTGTTACGAAGATGCGCGAGTTGGCTGCCTGAAAACGGATGAACACAGTCAAACAACTTGCTTTAACCAAGATGTTATGCAAGCAATGGCCTGAACAGTATGGTCTAAAACATGCATGTAAAAGTGCTGCCTTTACATTTTAATTAATTAATTTTATTTTTCCTTTAAAAGTACTTTTTTTCTCTGATTTTCAATATGCAGTTTATATAGTAATAAATTAAAGTGTATATAAACCCTTTCTTCAGAAAACATCCAATTACCCAAATTTTTTATTATCCGAATGGGGTCCAGTCCCAATTGATTCGGCTACTGTATTTCATGAACTCTGAATATCTACCAGCCCCACAGAATTACTTGAGAATTTCCACAAAGTACTATTCAACTCCACTGCAAATATAAACATGTAGGCCATTTTATTAAGGATGACCATTATTTTACTAAAAGCTGTCTTTCAACCTTTCCTTATACTTAGAAGATGACTGCTAAATTTAAAGATAAGATTTAACAAATGAGGTGATGGGAATATTGAAATAGTGAATTAAGGGCTCATGATATCAGGACACCACATGATTCATTAAAATTACTGTGAATAGAGTCCTTTGATATAGATTACAAGCATATCTCTTCGATAAAGATTAAAGGCATATAATGTTCACACACTAAAAAAGGGAGACTATCTAATTTGATTTTGTTAGTAGTTGCTATTGTTAGTTTTGTACTGTAATTTTGTATTTTTACATTTAATGATTCAACTTTCTTTTGCAAATTCTCATATATCCTCCTTTGCTGATATAATTGATGCATTTAATTGTTAATCTTAAAACACTTCAAAAGCATTATTTAGGAGCTAAAATTTCTAGCTCTACTGATTTTGATTTCATTCTTATAAGATATAAACTGCTATTTATAGGTGTTTTACCTTAATAACTTCATGAAAAATGCTTCACAGATAAAATTTGGAAATATTTTTCCATTTAGAAAAATAAAGTTTTTCTTTCTTCTTTTTATAGCACCTTGAAGAAATGTTATTGCTTTCCCTTCACAATGCAATCATATTTGCAATAAACAGACATTGTGCGAATCAATGATGCATATGATCTTCAATATTATTCTCTTTATTTATTTATTTATTTATTAAAACACTTGAAAGCTTGGTGTGGTGCCTTAAATGGCATTTTACCATTAAAAATATCCGGTACTTTTCCCTTTTGCCGGTGCAAGAGATAAAGTCAGCAAAAATGGTACAATCGATGCCAAACGGATTATCCTCGCTGGTAACCTTTTACGCCTCATTTTCAAAACAAGTCACAGCCATTTCTTATCAGATTAATTGGTTCTTTTAATACTGGCATACAATTACACAGAATTTTTACTAGATAGTTCATTTTTATGCCTTAAGGCCATTTGCAGTAATTAAGTCAATTAAGATGCAATCACACTGCTCACCCGAAGCCGAAAATATAGAAATGGTAAAGTCAAGGGTTAAATTCATGAATTCTAATGAGAACGCCCTAGCGAAGTAAAGCACTGCAGTTTTACATAATTTCTGAGTAAGTTACTCGTACAAATTGAAATAATTTTTGCATTTAAACTTGTATTCCAAATTAAGCTTTAACTTGAAATTAATGTAGAAAATTACTGAAAGAATTAGATTTTTGTAGCGTAGTTTACATGAGATGAGATCACTTGGGGTCATGTGACATGAAACGGAAAATCAGTATTTGTACCATACAAGCATATTAAATTCTTAAATTAATGCCTTTTTACAAACTTATCATGTTTATTTATTGTCTTTTTACAAAATTTTAAACGATATTAAAATGTTTATGCCTTCAAAATAAAAATTTCTTACAACTAACATTTGCTAACATTTTTTATGTGTATACTGTGTGTTGTCGCCAATAAAGTCTGCTTGGCGAGATTTGCGGCAGTGAAACAGAAAAGTACCAAATATCTAAAATAATATGAAATCAAAAATATGTCAAAAATGTACTATTGTACCAAATGTTAAAACTAAACAAATTCTTACATAAAAATTAAAACTAAACTGAAAGAAACATTGCAATTTTGAAAGTTCTGTTTCCTGCTGCTGCATTTCATTTTTAAATTCAATATGGTATAAATAAGAAAACGAAAAAGTACCTATCATTTGAAAAAATTACAGAAAAAGAAGATCAAAAAAATTTGTTACTAATAAATTTCATCCATTTGCACAAGACACAGAGTTAGAAATTATTTAGTCAATATATTATATGATATTAGAAACAAGTTTTATTTATTATAATATTAATATAAAATAACTCTTGTTGCAATATGTTATTAAAAGGTTTCAGTTGACAATAAAAGGAGCTTGATACACAAGCATCTTCCCCATGATTAAAAAACAATTTCACATGTCTTTAAGAAGTACAGATGAAATAGCTTTTAAAGTGATTCTCCTTTCATTAATGAATAATGCCCAGTCATAATATTGAGGATAAAGGAAAGATTTTAGGCCTTATTAATTGGAAAAAACTGGTTATCTTTATTTGAACCAAACGAAGACCATACCTAAATTTCCCAGTTTTCACTAGAACTCCTTTTAGGCCACATTCTTGAGCAGCACGGACATCACTCATTATGTCATCTCCTACCATAACTGCCTATGAAAGCAAACTTATTACATAATACAGTAATAGATGCAATTGAGAGAAAATATATTTTTGTGTAAGAATACACATCATACAGTTTCTGAAATGTAAGAAGTTATAAAATTTAAAAAATCATTAATGTATCTGAATGCAATAATAGTATTAAAAGATTAAAATAGTATACAAATTAAACGTAACTTCTGGCACACGAGTACACAAAGGAATATATAACCTGTAAATTTTATGAATTTTTACAAAAATTAAAACAATTTGAATGATGATTTTTCTCTTCTTATTTCTTAAGTAGCCCCCCCCCAAAAAACATATGCCATATTTATTCACGTATTCTCCCCCCCCCCACTTTTTTTGTGCTAATTTTATTCTACAAAAATCAAGACGAAAAATTATGCAAATAATTTAATTTCAAAAGATGTAGTTACAGTAAGAACATAACAAATGATAAAAATTCATGGATAAACTACCAGTAGCTATCATAACATTATTTATTTAAAAGAAATACAAATAAATTTCAGCAAGAATGCACACTAATATCAACATCACAGTATCTAATACGATTTTTCACATCTACTTCCCTGTATCTTGCATCTCACCTGCTCTTATTATTGTCCTTTTTTGCTAATTCCTAGGCTTCAATTATTTATTGCTTCTGCTTGTGCTGTCTACTACAATTTGTAAGTGTCACCATCATCTTCACTACTGTTTAGTGAGAAAATTATGTGAAAATGTGAAAATTCAAAGAATTTGTAGAACCTCATGCTAAAAGGCTGGAGGGGAAATATGTGAGTAAATATGATTTGGGAATTTTCATAATAAAATTATCATAATTACAAAAATTCTTCAAATGCTATCAATTCTAAGATGCACTACTTAATTTACAACAGCCTCTATAATCTTTTATTTAGGTATATAATCTAGTGATGCATGCATGCACTTAACAATGAAAATTAAAAGTGAAAACTTCTATCCAATATTATTTAAATCATACTTTAAATAATCAATAGCATAATGTCAAACAAATATTCTACAATAAAAATATTGAAACCCTCCCATTTAATGCCTAAGCCTTGAAGCTGAATTTTTTTCTTCTGGCATACAAATATTAACATATGAAAATCACATATAAATTTAAATAGAAATGCATGTTCTCACTTTGCAACAATTTAAATGCACCTCAAATAGCAGAATTTTACAGAATTGTAGGGCAGATTTTTTCCCCCCTGAAAAAGAGGGACTTGTGTTAGATATCCCTTAAATGAATTTTACTTATAATACACGCCAAAACATGCATTCTATTTTATATAATTTTAAGTCAAATGTACCCATTTAGCTAACAATACTAAGCTTGAAATAAACATTTGATTGAAATGTACATAAACTGCCTTTCAACTGAAATTCATCTAAAATCTGTCTGTCATAAATTTTCTCCCTAAATCATATTTTCATCATAGTGTGCATGTGTGTGTTTAACACATCATGATGTGCATGTGTGTGTTTAATATGATATAATTTCATTATTTCAGAATAATTATTAAAGAAAAAAAGCTGGCGATGAAAAAATAATTCTCTGTAGCTTTGCTAAAGTAATTGGATTAAACAAATAAAGGTGAACTTCTTTCCTTTTATAATTATTACTATTATCACATTTTACATAGCTAATTAAGCTTCTAAACCTTGCTAACAAGAACATTAAATTCTTATGTTCAGAAAAGAAAAACATAACTATTTGTTATAAAGTTTAATAAAGTAAAGAAAATTACCTCTTTTGGATTTACCCCCATATCTTTAAGAGCATCCGTAAAAAATTCAGGAGATGGTTTTCCAATAATTTTTGCTTCTGCACCAGTAGCATACTGAATATACAAAAATACATATATATTGGCAAGAAAGAAAAGTTAAAGGATAAATAAGTTTATAAAAATTGTTATTTATTAAATCTTAAATAAATTATAAATAGATTTCTAAAAAAGTAATGTCAGTTCAAAACAGTTTTTTTTTTTTTTTTTTTTAATAAAAAGAGGCACTGTTATTTTACCTGAAAACAAAAAAACAAAAGCCAAAAAAAACTACTTCAAAATCAAATTTAATTTTTATAATCTACAATTTTTTAGGATACTTGTAATTCAACTAATAACATTTGGTTTCCTTTAATGAATTCAGGTTCCTCTGGCGAATGAACAGCATTCAGCTTCCTCTGGCACCACCAGTGTACTTTGGTTGAAGCAGGAGATGGGTAGTTATTGTACTTAACATGAAGTCAAATCACTTCTTTCCCATTTGCTTTGTTCCCACACAAATTATACCAAACAAAAATCAAGTTGTTAGAGTGCAGTATCTCCATATTTTCGATGTTCTACCATTTTGCAAAGCAGTACATGAATTGTACATGAATTGTTACATTGTAGAGACATTAGGTAATTTTTGGAAGCACAAGAAATGAAAAATTAGCAACGCCTTGCCAGGAATCGAACCACGGACCTCTGGAATACCGGCCCAGAGTGCACAACCATTATACCACGAAGGCACGCTTAAAAAGCAGGAGAAATATAACATATTTACCTTCAAACTTATTTCCCACAAATGTCATCTCACATTCTCATAACTTACATTTATCACTATTTCATCATAAGAATTATCAAACATTTCTTTAATGTACAGCAATATGCCTTACAATCACATGAAAAACACTAAAAACTATGTGCAAAAGTGTATTATCTGAAGATATACAGCAAATAGTATAGTGAAATCAAATAAGGTTTGAAAAATATATGTGATTACCAGGATATGCGAAAACATTTAGCATGACTGAACATAAGTCTTAAAACATTATTATGAAAAAATTATTTGGTAATGAAAAGATCCACATAAGCAAGTAATCTCATAATCTGGCTAAAGTGTCAGTTAAGACATAAGCCTCTTTTTCAGATAAATCTAGAAAATAATACCCTCCTCCCCCCCAAAAAAAGGGTGAGTGAGTGAGTGAGTGAGTGATTATGGCGCAAAAACCAGAGATGATTATGATGCGCCAAACAAAAGATGAGATGATTACAATTGATGACATTAAAATTCAATAAATAAAGAACAAGTAGATAAATGTACCAAATCCAGAGGATGAAGTCATATAAACACAAGTTAAAAGCACATATTAAAATTCAAGACACAGTCTTCAAAACAAATTACATTTGGTAATAAAAGCCAATCTCTTTTAAATAATAAAATAAATTAGAATTGACCTCTCTTCCGATTAAACGGTCGAGAGGTAAGTCACAGCTATTAAAATATTTCTGGCGAAGACTATTAAACCATGGACACTCAATTAAAATATGACGAACAGATAAACAAACATTACAATTAAAACAAACAGGCTCATTTTCAGCATTAAGAAGATAGTTATGAGTGACTCTAGTGTGACCAATTCTGAGGCGAGTCAAAAGAACGTCCTCCTTACGATTTCCAACAAAATCCCAATGCTCAATTCTAGGCTTGACGTTTCTCAACTTGTTGTGATGCTAAACATCCCAAAATTGCTGCCATTTTTTTTCGGACCTTTCCCTTGATGACACTGCAGATATCTCTAAAAGGGATAAGGCGACTGGACAGTTCAACAGCAGATTTGGCTGCGATATCTGCAAGCTCATTTCCCTTTATTCCAGCATGTCCAGGAACCCAGCAGTACAGGACTTCATAACCTCGACTCGTTAAATTTATATGAATTTTGAGAACATCCACTACCACAGGATTCTGAGTGTTGGGAAAAGCTTCCAAGGATTTAAGAGCACTATATGAGTCTGTGTAAACTATGAACTTTTTGTGGCAGAGCTTTGAGATGTACAAAAGACCATAAATATTGCAGTTAGTTCAGATGTTAGGACTGAGAAAGCATGGTGCAGGCATCTGCCCTCTATGTAATTTTCAAATACAAAAAGCCATCCCGACATGATCATTTGACTTTGATCCATCTGTGTATATCGGATAATAACTGCTATATTTGTGCCTGTGCTCAGCAAAGAGTTGTCTGTAAACAATCTCATTAGTGCTTGCTTTCACGTGATGTTTGAAAACATCAAGAAGCTGAATCCGTGAATTTTCCCAAGGTGGGATTTCAAAGTTCTGTACTGCTTGGGGGTGCATATCAGAGAGGGAATGTTCCTCAATGATAAGGCGAAGCTTAAAGGAAAGGTAGCAACACAGGATGGACGTGTTTCAAATAAAGTATTACACTCATTATCAAGTAAGCACAGCTTATTGGGATGTTCAGGTTGGGATAAGATATTAAAGTATTGTAAAAGGGACAATTGCTCATGCCTCAGATAAAGTAAGGGTTCGTTAGAGTCAACGTATAGGCTCTGTACAGGAGAAGTCCTGAAAGCTCCTGAACAAATCCGCAAACCTTGATGGTGAACAGGGTCCAGTTTTAACAAAACAGATGAGCGAGCGGATCCATAAACCACTGAGCCATAGTCCAGTCTAGAGCGGATAAGCGCTCTGTAAATGCGAAGCATGGAGCAACGCTCTGCACCCCAGGAGGTGTTCGCCAACACTTTTAAAATATTTAGTGTTTTTAGACACTTCTTTCTCAGGTTTAAAACATGAAAAAGGAAAGTCAATTTCTGGTCGAACGTCACTCCTAAAAATTTCACTTCGGGCGCAACTGGAATAATTGTACCATTTAGATATAACTCAGGTTCAGGATGGAGACCTCGCTTCCTACAAAAGTGCACGCACACAGATTTCTGTTTCGAAAAGGTAAATCCCTGTTTGTCTGACCATTCTTGGATCTTATTCAGAGCCATCTGCAATTGCCTCTCTATGTATCTCATGTCTGCTTCTCGACAGCTAATCTGTAAATCATCTACATATAGTGATCCCAAGATGGTAGGAGGAAGTTCTTTTAATACAGAATTTATTTTTAAACTGAACAGCGTTACACTAAGCACACAGCCTTGAGGCACACCCTCTTCCTGTTGGAAAACATCAGAAAAACAGAGCCAATTCTTACTTAAAAAGTTCTACTGTTCAAGAAATTCTGAATGAAAATTGGTAGGTTGCCACGCAAGCCACTCTCGTGAAGATCCCGGAGTATACCGTATCTCCATGCCTTATCATAAGCTTTTTCAATGTCGAAGAATATCGAGACAAGGTGGCTTCTTTTTACAAATGCTTTTCGAATAGATGTCTCTAAGAGGAGCATGTTATCTACAGTTGTTCTTCCCTTTCGAAAACCGCTCTGATAAGGCGATATAATATCATTCTTTTCCAAGAAGTAGACTAGGTGGCTGTTTACCATCTTTTCAAAGTTCAAACAGTTTTGCAGAGGCAACTCGTAAGGGCAATTGGTCGATAGTTTGGAGGGATTCCTTGGATCTTTCCCTGGCTTAGCAATGGGAATGACAACAGCTCTCCTCCATGCACTGGGGAAAATACGCTCCTTCCACACTCTATTGTAAAGCGTGAGAAAGGGCATTCAGTGACTTATAGGACAGATGCTTTAGCATTTCGTAAGTTCACGCCATCGAGACCCGGAGACGACCTATGTGTCTGTAACAAAGCTTCTCTTTAACTCCTAGCACAGTAAATCTCTATATTATAAGGCTCAAATTTGGAAGAGTTGAAAGCGATGGGATTTTTCTCAGAGCGTTGCTTGATAGAAAGAAATGCAGGTGAATAGTTTCTGCTGGGAAGAAACGGCAGCAAATGTCTCACTGATAGTATTCGCAATTTCTTCTATGGAGCTAATCACTCGGCCATCTTTTTCCAGAAAGGAAAGTGAGTGGTCTTTATATATTCCGCATGCCTTTCGAACTCTTTCCCAAACCCGCTTACTAGGCGTAGAGGATGTTATTGAAGACACATATGAAATCCAGGAATCCCTCTGGCTTTGCCTTCTTACTTTTCGTGCATTTGCTTTGGCTCTTTTAAATGCTATGAGGTTTCGCAGAGTAGGATATCTACTCTGCGAAAATACCCCATGCTTTTTTCTGTTTTTTCAGTGCTTCATGACAGTCGCGATTCCACCAAGGTTTCGTATATTTTAGTATTTTTCCTGATGTTCTAGGAATGGAGAGCATAGCTGCCTGAATAATAGTATTTGTAACAGCATCAACAGCATCATCGATATGCGCATCTTCTACCATTTCATCTGTGAGCTCTGCAATGGAAGAGAAGAGTTCCCAGTCTGCCCTGTCCAGAATAAACCGAGGGACTTTCGACATGGGGTTTGCTCCTTTTCGTGCAAGAGATACAAAAATGGGATAATGATTGCTGTTGTACAGGTCATTTCCGACACTAAAAGTGCAAAATGGCAACAGAGATGGTGAACAGATGGCAAGGTCGAGAGCGTGGAATGTCCTTGAAGGCTCATGGAAGTAAGTATCCTGCCCATTGTTCAGGAGACAAAGGCGATCTTCGATCATCCGCTCAATTTGTCTTCCTCGGCAGTTTGTATCTTTACTGCCCCAGAGCGAGTTATGGCTGTTAAAATCTCCTATTATGATGAAAGGCTCAGGCAGCTGCTCTAAAAGATCATTTAAATCTTGCTGATCAATGTGCTCATTAGGAGGCAAATAAAGAGAAACGACTGAAACTACAATATCAAAATTTACTTGTACAGCGACAACTTGGAGAGAAGTCGTCAAAGGAAAGGAACTTGAGGGATAATCCAGTGAGGTGAGGAGACATACACCTCCACTGGCACGCTCACCTGCAAGGTTATCCTTCCTGACGAGAGAAAACCTCCGAAGTTTTGCATGTTGATCTGGTTTCAGATTTGTCTCTTGTATTGCCAAGCAAACAGGATGATAAGCATTGATCATAGCTTTAATGTCAAGCAAATTTCGGTGGAAACCGCGACAGT